GCGGAGAATACGGCGGAGGTGATGCAGCAGACAGTCGCCGCTATTGAGGAGTTCATCGAAGCGCGTGACGCGTTGGGGCGGTGGATCGATGAGAGGGAGAGCGGCGCCGGCGGTGATGAGCGCTACTACAGCAGCCGCAACGCAAATGAGGAGGAGGAGGAGGAGGACACCGCGGTGGAGCTGGTGGGGGTTCTCTGGCGAAGCGCCTTCTTCTGGGTGGCGGTACTCGACTACATCGAGGCGCTGTCGCTCAGCAGCGCTAAGGTGAACGCCTTTGCGCTGCGGCCAAAGTACGAGCAGGCACTAATGCAGCTCCTCAACTCCGTTGCCGTGCCGCGATTCGCCGGCAATTGGCAGCAAGCACCTCTTGCGCCTGCTCCTTCTGCCACTAGTGAGGCGGCCCCCGCGGCTGTGCCGAGTGATAATGATGTCAATGGTCAGCCAACAGACAATGGCGCCTCGGCCCTAACAACAGCGAGTGATGTGGGTCCGTCCACCACCATCGCTACTACTACCGCGACTAATGCTGCTGGACGTGGACGTGGACGTGGCAGCAACGACGAGACGGATTCGGCACGTGCGGACAGAGTGACGCGGCTGCTTGCCGACCTCGCGGCGCTGACGAACTGCCCCACCGATAATCCTGACGCCGCCGGCATCAACCCAACATTCTACGCGATGGTACATGCGCGGCTGAACGTACTGGCGGCGTGTGACCGCCTCGACCGCTTTAGCGCCACTGCCGCTGTTGCCCCGCCGCCGTTGACGCCGTCACTGCAGGCGCTGCAAGCACAGCGTGACGCCATTGCGGCGTCCCGCCAGCGTCGGGAGATGGAGCGTGAGAACCGTGACGACATTGGCGTGCCACTAGACTTTGTGCCGAACGAGGCGTACATGCGTGCCGCGCTGGAGAAACAGAACGACACACTGGGCGAGGACGAGGAGCTCTTCAAGGACGAGATTGTGGATTACTACAAGCGCCACCCGCAGCCAACAGCACCGGGACGGCGCGGGAATGCGCCACAGGACGCGCGGAAGGGTGCGGCACCAGCGGAGGAGCCTGTGGCGCTTGTGAAGCCGCACCGCTTCTGCAAGGTGAAGACAGGCTACACGTGGACGCAGTACAACCGCACACACTACGACTCCCGCACGAATCCGCCGCCACGCAGTGTGCTGTGGTACGAGTTCACACTCTTCTACCCCGCCTTGGCAAACACGACGCGCGACATGAGCCGCATCTACCACATCGAGGACACACCAAAAGGACCAAACGGCGACTATTGCATTCTTGTCTTTTCTGTGGGGCCGCCGTACGCAGATGTCGCGTATCAAATTGTGCGGAAGCAGTGGGACACACGCCCTGGTGGCGTTCGGGCGAGCTTCGACAGCAGCGGCACCTACCGCCTGTTCTTCCGCTTCACTAACAGCAACTATCGGCGCTAACACTGCCACAATGACGCGCAACGACATTCACACACACACACACACACACACACAGAGAGAAAGAGAGAGAGAGAGAGAGAGAGAGAGAGAGAGAGAGGTAAGGACATACACACATGAACGGTTAACAGGCGTGTGGTGGCTGAAACCAAGAGTTACATGTATGCTTTTTGGTGCCACCTCACAGAGAGAGGGAGAGAGAGAGAGAGAGAAAGGGAGGGCGAGTGAGGGCTATGACAGTCGCTGTGCTCTTTTACCACTGAAGGTTTTGCTTCTCACTGGTGCTGTAAGCTCTTCTCGTTACAACTTTCTCGTTCCTTGTGTGCGCCCCTCCACCGTGGCCCTAGATACCACCTTAGTATCTATATAGTTCGCGTATAGTCTGTGGTGTGTGGCTGTTGGTTCTGTTGCAGGACCCGCGGAAAATGACCATTCTGCACAACCCAGGTGTGCCGCGCGTCCTCAATCGCATCAGCCCGCAGCGCCTTGAGCTGACGCTCGCGCTTATCAAGGAGCGCAAGAAGAAGCTGCGCTACCTTGGCAGCTACCTGCAGCACTACAACGACCGCATGTTCCTCTACAATGCCATGGGCGGACTGAAGGGCACCAAGTTCATCGTTGAGCGCCACCACCACCGTGCGCAGTTCTGCCACCCGACGCTGCACAACGAGCGTTTCGACGTGCGCACCGTCAAGCTGAAGGGCTCGCAGTTTGACCAGCTTGGCAACTTCACCCGCTCCACGTGGGACTGCTCCATCGCCTCGACGAACCTCTTCCAGGACTCGACGTTCCGCCGCCACCTCACCGCCATTCACAGGGATGAGGCCATAGCGCTCCTCGAGGGGTGGGGTGTGAAGTACGTGCTGCTCGACGAGGTACGAAAGCCGTCGGTGCAGGATAGCATTTACGTGCGGCACAAGTTGTACGCGCATAAATTCCCATATATCCCCAACCCCGTCACAAACGCGTACTATGGCGATGCCGATTGGAAGTGGAAGGGGAATGATAAGATCGAATACGCCGACTACGGTGCGGCGACGAAGGACGAGCGGAACACGTTTCAAAGCCTGTGGACGGCTGCCGTCAGGGAATCTAAACGCGTGCCCACCAGAGCAGCAGTAGCGGCGGCGGCGGCGACGCCAAAGAAGTAGTAATGTTTTGTGTGCCTGTGATAAAGTGCAGCAATCTGGTGGGGGAACTAGTGGCGGTGGCTGGTGCTGAAGGAGGAAGTGAGAAGTGTGGGCATTTGAGGGG